AATAAATTATAAATAATCTTACATTTAAAGAAATATAATTGTAAATGAAAGAACCTTGAAGTGTACTTTTCTTGAACAAAATATGCACGATCCAGTGATAGGGACTGCATCTTACAAAAGCGAATTTTACACCAGTATCTTCAAAAGATATAAGTGGCTTTTTTTCATGCAGATGTGATAGCGCGTCAGGTGCGACGTTCTGAGTGCGATGTAGTGTTTTGAAGTTAAATCCTTATAAATCCTTGTCCCAGTTTTGAAAACCAACGTGTTAACCTCGACGAGAGATCTTACTGGGATATGACCCATTTTAAGCAAGCATGGTCCGAAATTAAAGCAAATTTAAGGTCGTCCATGTAAGGTCTAAATCTTTTGATACAATACAATAATTGCAATGCATTCCAGTTCAGTTATTGAATAATTGCGTTGAGCTTTATTTAATATCTTTGATATGAAAGCAATCGCCATTTCATTTTCTTCTCGATTTTTTTGTACTGATACCATATACCCCGGTTTTGTTTGCATCGCGGTGGATGAAGAATTCTTTTAAAAAATCTGAGTTTTGAAGTGCCGGTGCCTGTATCAGATAACTCCTCAAATGTTTTTTGAGCTTCGCTGCCCAATATGAATTCGCGTGTACTTTCTAATAACTCAGTTGATAGGGTAGCTAAAGTTACACATTTATTAATGAACTTGCTATACCAACCCGTCAGACCCAAAAACCGTCCAGCCTTCTTGACCATTTTCGGGGCAGGAAATCATTTATAGCAGAAATCTTATCTAGCTTTGCCCGTATAAAATCGTTACGAATTATGTAACCCAAATACCTAACTTCCTTCCTATAAAATTTACTTTTTGCTACATTGAACGTCAACCCAGAATAATGTAAGCATGAAGCAATAGTTAAAAGTACTTTTAAGTGACGGACTAAACAATCTGATTTGAGAAGAATATCATCGAGGTAAATAAATACTTCATTAAGCAAATTCGCAGGAATCATTTTGTCCATTGGCTTGGGTATAGTTTGTGGTGCGTTACATAAGCCAAACGACATGACTTTAAATTGACATAAAGGGTATAGTAAACGCGGTGAACCTTTGTGTGAAGGAAACTGCTACAATGCATCTTTGAGATATTGGGTAAACGTCTTTGGTAATGACAGATTTTTCTACAATTGGCAAGACTGTATAGTGACTTTGTTTTTTAGGTTTCGCCGAAACAACTTCGATAACATGAGAGCGCACATTGGTTTTACCCAGCCCATCTTTCCCATAGAGAAGGAAATTTATCAATTACCATATGTAATCCTAGTTTTTGACTTTCATTCAAAAAATTCAATTCAAAAATAAACCAACCATGTAACAAGTTAAATGATTTCAAAAAATCTCAACCCAAAGACAAAGGACGAGACAGCGACGAAATAATGAATATCTGAATGTGCGTTTCCATCCCTCTAAAAGAGATGACGGTCTTTACAAAACCTTTAATGGCCTGAGCTTTCCTATCACTAGTTTTCACAAAGGATTTAATTTTTTTATAGAGTTTTGCAGAATCAATGAATTTTTTGGGGAAACCACATCCTATACAGGTAGTAGAAGCATTTGAATCCAAGCGCGCGCTTACCTTTCCATCGGATAAGTTTACTTCAGCGAAAAGACGAATATCTTGATTTTTGGAAAATGGGCAAAAGGAATTTAACATGCACATGCTTGGCATTGCACCAACAGGCTTGTAGACGCTTTGTTGTACATGCTTTAGAATTATTTATAATCTTGTGGGACACCTTGTTTTTTCGAATTTCGTTTGTAAAAAGGTACAGTGGATTAACCAGGCATCTCCACGCGCATTTAGTAAATCCATCTCCGTAATCTAATTGCTGGGAATCTCTTCGCGTGAACTTCTTCTCGGTGCACGTTTTCTGCTTTATTACACAGTTCAACTTGCACGTATTAGGTGTGCCGCAGCCAAACAGAAAATAATACGCTCCGCCGAACAACTTTGATATATATGACCTGTCTAACGACAATTCCAATATTTTTACCACATGATAAAACTCTGTTTCCTCTGCATCTTCGTCAACTAATAATTCGGATAAGTATTTAGGAAAACTGGATCTGAAATTAACAAATAATTCCACAAACAACAAAAAAATTTAATATTTCCTGTTCAATTTCTGGCAATAGATTTTTTTTCTCTTCTTTCCACCAAATGTGTTTTAGGTATTGGTTGTTTCAGTTAATCCATAAATTGCATCAAATAAACCATCGAATTTCTCATTCGTTTTTGTTTCCAGTTTCCAATTTGTTCTCTTACAACCAGGTCTATACGAGAATCGGTAAATTGTTTACGGAGGAGGAAGCTAAAATCGCACCGAACAATTCGCTCAACAGAACGCCGATAATGCCAAAACCCATCGTTTGCTTTCAAAGAGACTGCGTATGTGCTAACATGATAGATCTAGATCGTTTCCCAAGGTCTGCTTTGTTAAAGCTTCAACACTATAAATAAATGACTTCCTGAATTAGACCTGAACTATCTCCCTAAACTTCAATTTCCAGTCAGACAGGATTTAATTAACTAGCAGCGCTGCTAGATTTTAAAGTATCTAAAATGAAAACTTCCTTTACATTAGTATCGGCTAGACTTGACGTAATCAATTCATATTCACAAACTGGACATCTATCCTTCGTGTTAACAGACATGACCTATAGAAACGGTCCCCACAAGCACTCAACTTCAAATATTTATCCAATCAAAGTGTTTGATAGCAAGTTGAACAACCATCGCTTGAAGGATGGTCACTTAAAGCTGCGAGAGCTACATTTTAATTGTTATAGTTATGTATAAAAACGAAAAAAATAAATCTTACTATTGCATGTAGGTAAAGGACTACATAAAAAAAAACTATAATCTCTACCTTCGGCAGAGAACACAGTGAAATTTCGGTCGCGATAAATTTTTCTACTTTGCATACAACGTGAACCCAAAGGTACAAAGTTAAAGAAGGGAAAGGAAGAGAGCGAAAAGAGGAGAAAAAAGTACTATTTGTTGGTTTCCTCATAAAAATGAATATTCCACAACAAACACGAACTGACAATCGAGTTAGTACCAATGGAGTCGGTATGGGAGACTAATTTATACTTATCACATCAAAATTCCAGATACTCCAGGTATTAACACTTGTAAAAAAAAGGGAGCACAAGATTTAACGTAAGTCCCATGTGAGCAACATTTAACACCAGATGAAATAACAATCCAACAAGTTAAACTCCTGAAACCAACTTGAAACTACGAGAAAATAAGGAAAAATAGAAGGAAGAAGAATTAAGACGGAAACCCGCACTTGACATATATAGGAGAATCTACACTGATGTTAATAGAAATCGTTAGTGTGTGACCCCACTTTGATCGCCAAGCGAAGCCGGAATAGATGCGGTACTCGATATATACAGGAAAAAACTAGTAAGAACATTATAGTCGGGCAAGGCTTATTTTTCTTATAGAACATAGAAATTATATTGATTATATGTTTCTATAAAAAGGCATATTTTTCATGCGCGTATTTGTGGGGAAAAGAGCCCAAAACGCAACCATATTAGTGCAAGTTTAATCCTTATATAGGGTAGAATCAAAAATAGTCGTAGATGGTTCAAATTTTTTGTATGAAGTCGCTATCATATTATGGGTCAAAGGATCAATTTTTGTGAAAATTCTTATCAGGCCAGGATCGAAAAAAAGGCTGAGATGGTCCAAATTTGGTGTAGCTAATTTCGCTATGTCAAATTTCAACGCAAAGCATTGAAAATTATATCTTTTTATCGTACGAAATTCAGTTCTCGTTACATGAGAGGTGGTTTAAAAATGTCCCCAACTGGCCCAAAATTTTCATACCAATTTAGAATGCCGAAATACTATTACTTAGCCATTTTTCAGGAGAAATTTTGAAAATTGCTTCCAAATAACGACTTTTGAGAATATAGCGTTGTATGGCGAGCGGTCTAAAAAGCGGACCGATCCGAACCAATTTTAATACCGTTCGTCCTTGGGGTAAAAAAAAACACTGTACCAAATTTCATCAAAATATACCATAAATCACGACCAGTAGCAAGAACACAAATTTACATGGACAGGCATCAGTCAGGCGGATGGACAAAGAGAGTTAGATCAATTCACATTATGATTATGGATCGACCGGTATAAGAAGAGGTGCGTCTATCTTAAGACCTTCTGCGTGTTACATACGTCCGCACTAACTTAATACATCTCTGTACCACAAGCGGTGTAGGGCATAAATATCAAGTTCCACCTGACATCGTATGTTACACCGCATATAGGTTCCTTCTCGTTATACCCTTGCCTTGTGGTATAGAGGTATGTTAAGCTTGCGCGGATATATGCTACAGCAAAGTCGTAAGATAAATCCAGCTTTTAGCAAACCGACCGATTTCGGAACACTTTCTGAATCGATCTAAGCCCGTCTGTCCCTCCGTTTACTACTCTCTTCTACTCACATTTTTTGTTTCAAATTGCGACCGCAATTTGTGATATATTTTCATGATCTTTGGTACACCGGCAAGATGAAAATTATATTACGACCACGAATATGAAACCTTACTTTGAAGCGTTTTGATATAAATAAATACAATAAGTGGAAGTGGTGTAGACCGCTTTGTAATTGGGCTGTGTATCACTATAGTGGTTTTACATGCTTTTTTTAAGTCCTACACCGATCGAGATTTTGACGGACAGCACTTCAATTTTTTTTAAGCAATTTATGGTATACTGGAGATAACTCTTTTTATGTGTTTCTTATTCCCTCCTATTCTGTATGAATTATACTAGAAACTATTTAAGTTTAGCAAAAATTTTACAAAAAGTATTAAGGAAACAGCTTTCAAGCAAATAAAAAACTCAATTATATGTGATGATCTAAAGCGTAAATAATAAAAGTCATTAAGAGTTTAAGGTTTAGCTTACAGCGGCTGCTACGCGGTATACAACGATTACCCGATGAAACAGCTCCACACCAAGGGAAGCAAGCAACTATGGCATCAAGTTGTTCATAAGTATCGCTAATTACTTTTTTTTTACAAAACATTAGTAGTCATGCATATAAAAACCAAACCAAAAAAAGAAAAACATATGTATATGTATACCAACGTAAGAGAAAAGAAAAATTCGAGAAGAAATAGAGAAGAAGAGTAAAACAAAACGCACCCATTATCGTCTTTCGTTGTAATATAATGTCCATTAGAAAATATCTGCACAATCAAATGAAACATATAACCACAATAGAAATAAAGACGTACTTGAGTTGGACACTTCTTTTACGTATTGCAAGGCTAGACGTTTCAAATAGTTAGCATCATCTTCGGCGACAAAGAAACCCATAAAATTCTGGCTAACGTATAATTCCAATTTGATGGGACGATCCAATAGAGCGCCAGTCATATCAACAACTTGTTTTAAAGCTTTAGATAACTGTAGGGAACACTCATCGGGTGCCTTACAATAAAAATAAAGGATATGTATTAAAAATTTTCAAAATTCCAAAAAATAAATAAATAAAGTGATAAGCTACAGGTACCTTAAAAAATGATACTAAAGTGATATGTGGTACGTAATTATGAGCGCCATTCCAGCCGCACATCATACGAGATTTTATCCAAAATTCTTCAAGCTGTTGTAAGAACGGTCCAGTTGGACAAGCATACAGAATATATTCTCGTGGCGTACATTCGTCGAGAGTATTATCGTTGACATGAGCTAATAACCAATCGGACGCTATTTGTACACCACGATTTCCTGTAGAGGCTAAAGCTTTTTCTCTAAAATAAAAAGTAACAATTTTATTAATTGTATGTAGGCACATATGTGTATTGTTATTCTAAATAATTCTAAATATTAAAAAAGGAATTGCAACACTTTTTTGACAGAATAGTCACAATATGATCAAATGTGCTTTAATAACGTGTAGTCGCACCTTATTTTCAAAATGCGCTCCCAATATTAAAAACTATATTTAATGATTTTCCGCTCCGGTAGCATACATAAAGGGGAAAATTAGTGAAAATAATATTATTTTTAAGAAAAGCACAAATCATTTAGATCATTCAGATCAATCATTAAAATTGATTAGTCATTTCAAAAAGTTCTTTATAGGGCCCGAAAAATAGTACTATAGGTGTTAAAAATAAGAATAATAAAAACACTCATATACAGTCATCTCGCTACTCAAACGAATTCTTCCTCTTCCATGCAATCTTTGTATCAGAATCATTCACCTTCCAATGCCAATAATAACAACAGCAACGTAATCACTAATAATGTCGTCGCATTAAATGGTCAGTTGCATAAGATGCCTTCTCAACAATCATTAGAAGAGGAATTGCCCTTGCCTTGCGGTTGAGCAACACATTACACCCTACATGGTCGCAAGCATTACATTGATCATAATGCGACGTGTCCTTTCAAAAGTTCATGGAACGTATTATGAAAATCAATGCACTGGCCAATGTCAACGTCAGCATCCACGTTTGACCTTATACTACACTGCACAAACTGAACCCCCAAAAGCTATATGGCCCGAAACACTGCCACATACGCATAATGCCTTGGTTCCTGCTAATCCATACTTACTCGACGAGACGCCAACATTGTTGGTGGTTTATTCGGCGGCAGACTCTTAAACACCTCACATGTTACAATTTAATATGTTCAGCTTACAAGAGCCGGAATGTTTCGATGGCATGCTAGTGCGTTTATTTAAATAGGGATTGGGCATTATTGTTGGCTTCTATGAGCGTCAGAAAAAGTTACTATTTGAAGAACAAAGTTGTTGTAATAAAATTTAAATAAAATACTAAAATTTGCAAACATGCATATATAACGTTTGGAATACTTAATATATAAATAGTTGATAACGGAATGCTATTAGCAGCCATATACAGCAACTGGTACCACAAAAGTTTACATAGTACATTTTTAGAGTAAAAAAGAATTTGAACTAAGTTTAGATTACATTCTGACTGCTATCTGTACAGTGCGGACCACGATGTCAGGAAAGAAGTAAGCTATCATTTCCGCGCAAAAAATTTTGACTCACGCACTTTCATTAATTTTACATTACAGAATCAATCATATTTTAAGTTTTTATTATTATTTCTTATAAAAATTTCCAGGTCTCTCATATTGTAAGTCTTTTACCACCATCTTTGCGCAAGATTTTTATGGCAAGGAAAGGAAAGCATAGATTAAATGGTGTTGTCAAACAAATTCGCATTTAACAGAAAATTGTGAATTTTAACAGAAAACGATTAATTTTAATTTAAAGGAAAATCTGAAAGTTTTAACTTAAATTACCAACACATGAATAATTTTGTTCTTTTGCTTCACATGCTTTTTTCAATTACACGCTTGTATAGTATGCCAAATGAAATTTTTTAGCGTGGATGCCTTAAAACAACATTACACACAAACATTTCCTCGATAATCTAATGAATCCTCCTTTTCTTTGTAGTGCGAAATTAATGCTGCACTTGGAGCTGCTCAGCGTAGACAAAGTCGTTGCCCATGACCCATTTTTCCCCGTTTTTATTTTTCTCTACTTCTCAACTACTAACGCACAAAATAAACACTTAAGTTCCCTATATCCCTAATATTATGCTAAACGCTGTTAAAATTCTTTAGCTTTAGAAATTTTGTTTTAGAGATAATAATGGCCGTTTTAGTCTTATTGATGAATATCATGATGATAAAAAAACATATCTCAACCATGTTCGGATAGTAAATCATTTTTCGACGTCATTAGATGTAAATACGATTTAGCAGAGGAATTCGCATTATTGAACCCTGCAAATCCATGTATTTTGACAGATAACAAAAAACAATCAACAGATGTATAATTTTATTTTCCTTCTTCGAGGATGCGGTAATATGAAAGAAATGGGGACATTGATCCATGTAGTTCGACATTGAATCATTTATAATACTAGGTGTGTGCTGTTTAGTTCCTTATCCCCATCACAATTAGAACTCAGAACTCAAGGCACTTCAATATCAGCGTACGAAGCATAAATTTGACGAAAAGTCGACACAATACTTGCAAAACCGAAAATGATATCAAGTCTGCAGACCAGGAAATTCAGATAGTGAAATACAATAACATTATACAACCTCAGCCAATTTTTCTCAAAAATTTCTATCAGGACATTGATTTTTATAGAAAAATATAGGTTTCAAATCTATGTTGATGCTTTTTTTTTCTTGTTTACTCTTCTTTGTCTTCTTCTTCTTGTGAATTTCTTTACTCTGATAGATTATGAAGGTTTTTTAACAGACAATGATAGGGTTTACTGAATTATGTGGTTTAACAGAAAATTTGCAACATATGATTTTTAAATCAGAAACTTTCCCATGGTATGACGTTGTGGGTTGGTGCACGTGACACAAAGTTTAATTGGATTTATATACTGAAATGACTGGAATGATTGATTTGCTTTTGAATTACTTTTTAGAAACAACACTTAACAATAGCTGCTCTAATTCGAATGTTTAACCGGCCCGACTTGAAGCCATTTGTTACTACGTTCCTACATTGCCGCCACTGTAGTCTAGCTAAATATCCCACGGAGGCCAGTCTAATTAACGCTGGTCAATTCGGATTCGTAGCTTTGTTCCACAGAGAAGCTAAAAAAACTTGGCTTAAAGTTTGCTGACAAAAAAATTATATTGTAAATCTTTATATAAGGGAAAAAAAAGGCCAAAGCGAATTGCATAATCAGCATGGTTGCTTCGATATGTGCTTGTTATTACAGGGTTTAAGGGAGTTTAGATCGAGGGTTTATTAAATGCCTTTGCTTTGGGTCGTGGTGTGAATTTGGAGCAAAGTTGTAATGTCTATTCTAATACACAAACGTGTCGTATATAGGATCTAAACTTAATGTGTCCGGAAATGTGCCAAATGTACATTGGAAAGAATATATTTCAAAAATTTCATAATCGGTTTTCAATTTAGAAATTAAATGAAAACAAATGTTCATAAGAATAAAACAAAAATTCCCAATTTTATTTTGCTGCCGTTGTTATCATTTCTTGATGAATGTTATAGATAAATAAGACTCGACGAATACGTAAAAATCAATAACAAAGAAAATTGGCATTTCGTTCCAATTATTCTGAATTTTCTTTTTTTTGGATGTTGAGTTAGGATGGATTAGACCTTTACTTTTTTATTTAAATAAGAATCGTATTCAATTCACTTGGTATTATTGTTAAGATATAACTTACGCCCTATGTTTTTGGAAGCCCATTTGTAATAAAGTTTGTAGCGGTGTTAAATGCTGTTTGGAAATACGAGTTGGTGTTAGATTTTTGCGTGGCGGTAGCGTAGCCATTGTATGAGTTTTCTATTTACATGTACTGTATATCACTTATTATTATTTTTTGCAATAAATGTTTAAATTTTCCAAATAAGTTAAACTTAACAAAGCAGAATGCAAAGCCGGCTAAAAATGTACAGAACGACGGCTTATCGATAAATGCTAAGTGGGTGGATGATAAAAAGCGATAACTTGTTAGGAAATAATTGTCTTGTGCGCTATATGTTAGGTGTTGCCCAAAAGTAGTAAAAAAAAGAGAAATTCAAATCCATTCCCACAAGTTTGTAAGCTTTTGCCTTTTGTTGTTTTGTTTAAAGCAAACATTTCTTTCTGGCAATACTGCATCGATACACTTTCTAGTTTTTCTTGCTTAAAAAATTTAGCAAAACATTTAACTGATCGCGTAATTTTATTCGTTTTGCGTTTCGTACGGGCAATGATGCTTAACCTAAATATGTTTGTGATCTTGCTGGGTGCATTGGTCTTCCTTCATTATGCTGATAGTGATAAGAAAAGTAAGAAATATTCACGCGAAGTCAACGATCCACAGTTTGCTAAAGTCATCGCGGAATCTTACGATGCAGATTTCAGGGCTTTACAGAGGCCTTTTCGCATGGCCAAATTAAATTTAGTATGGACGAAAGCGCAAAATGTAAGATTTTCTTCATATTATGAGCTTTATTATAACAACGATAACAAAGTCGAATATTTTCGTTTCCAGCGGTTAACCGAACCTAAATTAAAATCTTTATATATGGAATTAAAAATTCATGACAAAGAAGAGATTGCGTGGAAACAACTAGCATCCCAGCATAGGGATAAAGACGGCATCAAAGAAAATGAATTGAGGCGTAAATTGATTGGGATTATGAGCACTTATGATTTATTAGAGCATTTTGAGGAAACTGAGGATAAAGAAAAGCTTAAACCATATCGGGTCTGTTACGAAAATTGCTCCCTATGCTTTAAATAACTGCAATACCCGCAAATTTCAGAAATTTCATGATCCAGAAGAGCGTCATTTGAATAAAAGTTTATTCAAAGACAAAAAACTGAACACTTTGTGGGAAAAAGCTGAAATATCTGGGTTTACTCCGGAAGAATTAGAATCATTGAAACAAGAATTTCAACACCATCAAGATAAAATAAACATCTTTTATAGCCTTTTAGAAAGTTTAGGATCGAAGGTCGATAACAAACATGAAAGTAAGTTTAATGTGCGCCTAGTGGCCGAAGAAAATACTCATTTGGATTTCACCCGAAGTGCACGCTTTGTATTTTACTGATTTTATTAACGTTTTCCCTTCGTAGATGCTATAAATGAAGATGAATTTGACGCTTTTAATATGATTTCGAACGATCCCAATGGCGAAAACGAAATTGAAACCCCCCAGATGAGCCTAAAAAAATATGAAAACCAAATTAACCAAGTTCGTGATCAGCATCGCGGTATCGCGGATCATTACGATCGTCTAGAACGCTTGATATCCACAGGTCCCCATAGTCAAGATTTTATTGAACCGAAAGTACAAGGCCTTTGGAGGATTGCACAAGCAAATAATTTCACTGACAATGAATTGTCGTCAATTAAAATTGAATTGCACCATTTCGAAGCTAGATTATTGAAATTGCGTCATTTACATGCAGAGCATGCTCTACAAAAGGAAAGATATAAGGTATGGTATAAAGACAAAATTATATTCTCTTGCTGATTAAAATATTTGAAAAATTTTCCTTTTAGAATGAAAAACATCAAGATAAAAGCCAGCGGTTTGAGGATATGGAAGATAATATTAAGAAACAGACACGTAAAGTGGAAAAGATACAAGAATCAATTGAGAAATCAATTTTCAAGCATACTGAGCTTTAAATTCAAATAATGGAAGAAAATCTTAAATTATTAGCTAAGCTTTAACTCTAAATAAACTTAAGTCAATGTGATTTTAAATAACATGTATTTTCTTTCTTTACGCAGCGGTGCCTACAGCTACTTATCAAATGCATTTTTGAATAGCGTTTGACACTGGCTTTTTTACTTCCTTAATTTTCTTCTTCTTTTTCCTTTAAAAGAGATTGTGGGTTTTTGGCAATTCATAAGAATTCGAACTCAATAAAAAGAATTCGTAGAAATTGTGCATAACTTGTTAAAACTGTTGAAAGCCTTGTGGAAACGGTGTCGTTTTTTATGGAATAACTTGTGACAGAGAAAACAGCTTTTTAGATGTAGTAGTTATATGTAAAATGTAAAATTAAATATGTTTCATCATAAATTTTTTTCCTGATTGTAATTGGTTTTATAATAAAAATCGTTAATTCAAATCGGCAATGCGTTTATCTTCTTATGGACTCCGAATAATTTTCCAAATGTATCTTATATTGATTAATTCCCGCAACTTACTAAATTAAATAACTAAAAAGTTAATGAGCTTTGGCAACTCTAGTTCTGCTCTTAAAATGTAAATGTCATCTGTGAAGCTACGTTGAAAATGTGAAAAATTAAAATTCCTGACGTTTTTGCACAAATTTCAATAAATATCGGATAAATCTTATAAAAAAGTGTATAATATTGTTAAGGCAAGTTGAAGTGCTTAAAAAGTGACGTAAAATTTTTTTGAAAAATACTGTAAAACTTAAAATCGAAAAAAATTATATATTTTCGTCATACCATAAAAGGGAGCTGCCCTACGCCAGCAGCAGAAGAGCAGCTGCTAGCTGCACACTTAGCCTACATTTGTTGTTGTTCTATATATCTTTATATCATTTAATGAAGCACTGCTTAAACAGTTGCTGCTCTGATATTAGTCACCGCCACAGAGAACGTACAAGCCAGCGATGATCTGCCGTGTTACGGTTTTAAGGAAATTCTTTATTTCTGTTTATTTCGCTTAATTTGAAATATTTTGTATGTTTTTAGGCCAGCCTTGTAATTTCCAAAAACCATCTAGACACATGGTCATGGGTGAGAACATAATGGACGAATTAGCAACATTGATACGCACCGAAATACCCGATGGACGTCAAAGTCTGCGTGATAGCTATACGAATCTGGAAAGGGTTGCGGATTATTGTGAGGATACGTATTATCGCACTGACAAGGAGAAAAAGAAGGCTGCCCTGGAAGCTACAAAGAATTACACGACACAATCGCTAGCCAGTGTAGCTTATCAAATCAACACACTGGCTTATAGCTATATGCAATTGTTAGAACTTCAGGCACAACAACTAAGTGAAATGGAATCGCAGATGAATCACATAGCTCAGACTGTACAAATACACAAAGAAAAAGTTGCCCGCCGGTAAGGAGTTTTCTATTATAATGTTGCTTAAAATATATCGTTAGTGCTACTTTGATTTCAGGGAAATTGGTGTGCTCACAGCTAATAAAGTAAGCACACGACAATTCAAAATAGTGGCTCCAATTAATCCTGAAAAGCCAATTAAATACGTGCGTAAGCCTATTGATTATTCTATATTGGATGATATTGGCCATGGGGTAAATTCAACAGTGCAGAGTGGTCGTCAAAAACATCGCGGCTCGAGTCACGGTTCAGTGCAGTCATTGGCTCAATCATCTGTAGTGGGTCCCCCGCCCACTACAAAGCCACCTACACCACCACAGATGTCGCGTGGTAATACAGGCACTTTAGGCAAATCGGTCAGCAATACTGGCACGTTGGGTAAAAGTTCACGGGAATATCGTACACCCCCAGTTGTCAATCCACCGCAGGTACCGTCTCACTATGCGCCCAATTATCCTATCGGACATCCAAAGCGTATGTCTTCAGCATCTTCCAGTACTACAGCAACTGGTGTTAGCAGCACTGGTATAATGTCTGCTGCCACTAGCAGCTTAAGTAATAATAATGAAAGAGCCGCTGGGTATAGTGCATTGCCTATGCCACCCAGCCAGCAAATTGCTACCCATGTTAATTTGCCCTCAGCCGGAATGATGCAATCGTTGCCACCACCGCCACCAACCACTTATGATGATCGCAATAGCATGCCACGTTAGTACAACATTTTTAAATTGAAAACTGTTTTCATTTAATCGAGGTCGGTATATTTCACATACGAAATTGCAGCACCACCATCTCCTTTGACGGTTTCACAGCATGAACTTACTGAGCAGAGCCACATTGGAATGCATACATTGGGGCGCAACATTAATAGGTAAAATTAATTGAACGTTTTCTATTAAACAATGTATTATTTTAAATAATCTTCATATGTATTTTATGTCTTCCTCTTAAGAAGAAATGGTAACAGGTAAATATGTTAGTTGAATAGAAAATTTAGTTAATTTTTTATATTTTAATATAAAATACAGTTTAAATAAATAATTCTTTGTAATAAATTTTCGATTTTTTCAATTTTTTATAGGAATCACTTCAGCTTGAATTTTGCCAGACCTGGATCACAATCACCACCCTTGCCACCACCGCCACCACCAGAGGAAGAACACCAAGATTTTGGCCGACCACGTACTTCAACTGGCCAGGGTCAATTAGCTCCTATTGTGCCAGATGATCAAAATTTACCCGGTTGGGTACCTAAAAATTATATCGAAAAAGGTAAGCCAGAAATCAATTTTCTAAACAAATAAGACCATCTAACTCGTACCACAATTAAACCTAATTCCGTTTTTACATTGTTACGTTCTTAAAAAAACAAGTGGGAACCATGAGAAAAATCTGTTAAAATAATTCTATAAAAATCTTCTCGACGTTGTTTGCCGGTGAAACAGCATTTTCAATTATGCTGGCTTATGTTTACTATCAATATTGTGATTTATTTACGCCAAGCAAATAAATTCTTGAACTAAAGAAAATAATTTTGAGCCCTAACATATATTTTTGATGCAAGAACACAAAAAATTGGTTGCTCTAGTCGTTTTAGTAAAGTTTTAAACTTGATTAGTATTGTGTTCTGCAGCTATTTTCAAAAGATCGGAGATGGTAACGATATAGTGAATATCTCTTAAATAATTTCCAACAATATTGGAAACGAAATTCAATGAGATCGTTGGACAAGGAAATTCAATCATGACAAATTAAAATTTTCGCTCTAAAGCCTTAGATGGTGTTGTTAAATATTTGAAATGAATTTCGGAGCAATTTCAATTGTGTTCTTTTGTGCAACACTGCGCCTCTACGTCTCAAGATATCAAATTTCTATTTGAAATTTTGTGAGGGCATTAATTTTTGAAACAACTATAAAAGAAAAACGAAGTAGCGGTCGTGACTAAAACAAATAGGAATCTATTGTTGATGAGATATTCCTTGCAGGGTCTGAAAAGGGAAATTTAATTTAGTATATAATAAATTTCTTTACGAAGGCCGGCTTGGCTGTATATAAAACTTGCATGGCTTTTTGTTAACTACAAGCGTACTTGAATTTGGTAAACTCTAGAATGAAAAAGGAGGCAGGTTGTGAGTTCTTGAAAGTTAGTTAGGAAATTATTTAATGATTTTTACAAATAAATTAGAGAGATTGTCTCACGTCTGTTTTTATTTTTTTATTTTCGAAAACATTAATAAACTGCGAATCAATTTTTTGGGCTTGCATGCAAAGAATACTTTATCTACAAAATTCGTTGTGCGGTGTATATGTCTAAATTGAATGGTTTTTTTTTATTGTTCTCTCGCTGTCTTAGTTGTGGCTATTTATGATTATTATGCTGATAAAGATGATGAGCTCAGTTTTCAGGAAAGCTCAGTATTATATGTGCTAAAGAAGAACGATGACGGTTGGTGGGAGGGTGTTATGGATGGCGTTACCGGTTTATTTCCTGGAAATTATGTGGAACCCTGCGTTTCCAATTAAAAGGACTGGTAATGTTGTATAATATTTACTAGCGAAAACAACAGAAATATGCGCCTTTCTTTTACAATACAATAAATTTAATTAAAAAGACAAAATGAAAAAAGGAAATTGAAAGTTTTATGCAAAGATTTGACACGAAAAATATAATAGTAATAAAACAAACATTCATAATGCAAACAATAAGTAATTATTATAAACTATAAAAATATTTGATCAGATTGTATATGAAATGCTTACATGTTGTTTTTTTTTTCTTTTAAAATAATTATTAGAAAAATATGCAAAAAAAACAATTTTTTTATAAGAACTTTTCTACGGCCACATATATATCTAAGACAAAAAAACAAAACGACTAGCTACGACAATGAAAATACACTAATAACATCTGAAAAGTCCTATATACCATTAACTTCCTTACTAATGAATTCCCATAGCTAATGAAATCATTAAATGAAATACATAATAACATGAATCATGAATTGAAAGTGTGAGTATCCGATAATGACATAATACAAATAAAATACAAATTTTTATTATAGTTTATAAAAGTTAAAATAATTTTGCTCAATTGAATAATTTTAAAAAGCTTATTTAGTTCATTTAAAAATTTTGTTAAACGTAGTGTTCGTTGGGTAGGCTTGCTGATTTGGAGAAAAAAAGAGAGGATGAATTTTTATTAATATTTTAGAAGCTCTCGTGAAAGAGAGCTTACGTTATCTTCAAGTAAATGAAAAGGCAATTTCTTACCTCTAATTCCTCACAAAATCTTTGCCTAAATTCACTATCTTTATAATAATATTATTGCCGTGGGTCTTGAGCCACGCTTAGTTCCAACTGTTTTTATTAGCAATATGTTTCTTAACAAAAAAAATGAAAAACTATCACCATGTTACACGTATAGGGGATACCGCAGGGATGATTGGACTTTAAAAAAAAGAAAGGTGCACCTTTCCGGGGAATACCTTGACAGCGTTACGGTTAATGTTTTCCTTTGAAGAGAGTAAACAGATTAATTTTAAAAAGAAAATAAAATCATATTCGTTCTCAGCTGAACATTTCTCCCATTCCATTGCAGAAAAAGGTTTCAACTCATTCCTTGAAAAAGTTCCCTCAACAGGGGTCGATTCTTAGGTGTTTTTCAATCCTTTTAACTACTCGTGGTATAGGGTATATCAAGAAGAGGTACGTAGCAGCCAGAAGAGCTTAAGATGCACCTATCTTTTTAGCCCGTCTGTCCATCCGCCCATCTAATGTCTGACTATCTATAATTGTGTTTAATCTACAGGTCGTAATATTTGAGATATTTTGATAAAATTTCGTACACTGACGTGCTTTGTCCCAATGACTAAAAATGATTTGGATCGATTATCTTTTTCGACCATTCTCAACTCCATATAATGCCTTGCTTTGAAAAATCCTTTATAAAAGGCGAAAAACTAATTTTCAAAATATTTTGACAAAACTCGCTGATTAGTAGTATTATAGTACTTCGACATTCTAAATTGTCGTGAAAAATTTGCTTCGATTGGCAATATTTTTTGAACCCTCTCTCATAAAGCTTTTCCTATGTATACTGAATCTTTATATGATAAAAAGGTATAATTTTCAACATCTTATGGTGAAAATTGGCTCAGAATAGTAATTTGACGAAGGAATCAACCCCCAATGTATACAGCAATTATCGTTAAATGTAAGGCGTTATATGGAGAGAAAGTTTAATTTCTAGTTTTTTATGGCGGAATTTGAAAAATAAAATTTTTGCTCAATTTGAATGACGACATGCGGTGTTTTTGGCGTCCTCAAATATGCGGGATTTCATGAAAAGTATGCCATTGCATAAAAATAATGTGTAATATTCATTGTTATTACGAAAACGAGTAAATAACTGTTTTAGGAGAAGAGGTGTCCGACTGTAATGTTTTTACTTTCATTTCTGGACTTTTGTTTTCTTTATTTTATTTCGTAATCCCATGTCCTGTATATTATCGTATATGAATACTTCACTTGCCAAACCAACTATGTCCACTTCCTAAATTTTTATAAATTTGAATGGCAAAGGGCTTGATTAGATCCTAATTGCATTAACAATTGTGAACGACTAATAATTCATTGCACAAGCCAATTCTTACTCGAAATGTAAATAGTAATAAATATTCTATTAAAACACTTTAAAAAAGCAATGAAACGCATATGAAAAACATTATTTATCGTTACTAAGGCATATGTAAAAAAAGAAAATATAAACTATATCTACTTTCGGTTTTATGGGTTTCATCGATTTGGCAAGTAAGGCATTCATATGTCCTTTACAGGGAGAAGCTTTCGAGTTGAAGTGAAGTGATGTTATGACTGCTTAACGAGAGAACTTTTCTGTTATTAAAATCCTTTTATCGCCAAAGATGGAGTGTTTTATAATGATCTAGCCTTGTAGCCTAATTCGACTGCTAACTTGATTTAAGTTATAATTTTTTGAGCTTAAAACTGTTTCGAAACCTTTTTCCTTGCAGTTAATCATCCTAGATCGAACCGAGTTTCAAAAGACTTTTAAGTGAAAAGGTTTTCACAAAACGTTGCTTTCGGTTGCTTTAAACGTTTTTTGTTTTATAGCATTATTAATCACCGCGTTTGGAAAAGATAAACATTTGTTTTAGAATTTACGAATTAGAATAATAAAATAATTGCGTCTTTTTCCAATAGGTTACTCAACGGTTAGGTTATCGCAAATTTTTTTTTCTTTCACGCTTCGCGAATTTTATATTTCTTTTTTCGTATTATTTAGTTCAAATATATTTCATTCTTTAATTTTTGCCACTTTATACAGTTATATACTTATATAAGTAAAAATATATGCATTAAATCTTTTAAACATTTTTTTTACAAGCAAATATTTTCTTTTATTATACACTAAAAATAATATAAAATAGTTAATAAAAAAAATTATATACGTTTATTACGATGCATCAATAATACAAAATACAATGAATTATAAAAAATTGTGAATTTGTGTTTCTTATTAATATTTAATATCTATGCAATGAAAAGACTATGTGTGTATGTAAGAATTATAATATAAAAAATCCATTTTTGTATTTTTTTTTAGCGTTCAGATATAGACTTTAAGAAAGGCAGTCGATAGCATAAGAGGTTTGTTCGTTAAATACATTTAGCCAGTTAAATGTGCCTCGTATACTCATCAAACACCCGTCTACCTATTTACAAATTTCATCTTTGAGAATCCAATAATTTTAGTCTTCGTAATAGTGTGAATAAATTAGATCACCTATCTTAAATGAGATTATTTTTTTACCACATGCAATTTTTATTTTAAACACAAACATACATTTTATTTTACTTATATTTACATTTCATTTATTTATGTATTTACAATATCCATAGACATACATTTTTACTTACCATTGCAATTTAAATGATTCCAGCTTTCCTTACGTGGCTCTTTCTTACATATGAAGCATGAGTGTAGTTATAGATATGGGTTTATGTTTTGTAAACACTTAAGCAGGATTTAAGTTTGCTTCCAACGCGAACAAAAAACTGATTCTATTCACATAGGTTGAATGAGTAATATAATAAGGTAAACGAAATATGTGATTAAACGATTAACAGACAAATAACATTCGAGGATTTAATAGATTTATTTATTATTCCTTTGTGCACTTCATGAATTTTTCTAATAATACTTAAGAAACTTTCTTTCGTGCTTGTTCAAAATATTTTGGAAAACCTGTTTTCAAAGTAAGTAACAATGCTAGTAATTAAACACAATTCGCCCTAATTTTAAGCAGTCTCAGGATAACATTGAAAAAGGCAAGCATTTTTTTTCTTATGATGCGTTTTGATTACATAACACGTGCGTTTCTTTATACGTGCTCAATTTGATGCGTGTCTTAAACTGGCGAAAGAGATTGGTTAGGCGTGAGTGGCAGACGACAGCGGTAGTCGCATATTGCTAATATTGTTAATATACGACCGCTTACATCTATTAAGTGCATATGGAGGAAAAATTGAAGGTAGCAAACGATACAACCACTCAATAATAACGAAACTCTCGAAATTAACCGCTTCTAGTTCTGCATTCCCGAGGAGGTTCCGTTCAATCGATCTCAACACCTCGCTACATAAATCACGGTCCAATTTCCATCTTATTGTTATAATGGCGCCAATATGAATTGTCACCATAAGTTGTCAACTGCTTTTTTTATTGTAGACATTCTAATTCTATTATTACTATTACTAGCAAATACGGAGACACCAATGAGATTCCCAGGAAACTATGTCCACCTCAAATAAGTGTCCTTGTCAATACATAAAAATATATGCATGAATAAAATGTACTTGCTGTTAATTTCTTACAATTTCTTTACATTCCTTTCAGTTCGTCTTTTATACGCCTAATTTATAAATGTTAAATTTATTTAGCACAATAATAATTTTTAATACAATTCGAAATTTTACTCTTTTGCACACTTTCCTACACTTTCTTTATATATTTTAACTTTATTCTTTATATAGCTTAAATTTGTTCAAACAAAAGAAATTTTTCATGCAATACACAATTTTATTTGATATTTCCTTTTTTTATTAATAATATGTTTTTATTTTTTGGCAATTCTTCGCTCGATTTCAATCTTCCATGAAGCACTTGTGAAATGGTTTTGATTTCTCGCTAAAAGCCGTTAACGGGTTTTTCCTTTATACCATTTATAAGAAAAGTATTATGTGCGGTGAATACAGAGAGCACATTGTTGCTTTTAATAAGTAAGGAAAATTGTGAATAAAAAATCTCTCCCATCTGAAGCAGCCGTGCGCATCTCTGTTAAATGTTCTTTACGTTTTATGACGTCGGCAACACGTACGCTTTCAACATTTAATGACTTCACCGAATGGTTTTGGAAAGATACATTCGATTTAGATGAAGGTTTCCCATCGGCTTTAGCACCTGTAAGAACAATGTCGTTGAGAAAAGAAAATACACACAAGTTGTATGTTTTGATTTAGAACGATAACCGTATCTCATCATCAGAGATATTATTTAATTATTTTGGGTATAAATTTATAGCTGTGAACAATAATTGGTTCTTCTTTATTTGCGGTAACAGTATTTAAACTTGCCTTACGTTTGCGTCCTCTTTTGCTAACCGTAAGTTTTGTTCCTCGTTGCTGTTTTTTTTTTACCGTTTTTATTCGAAGCAGAAGGACGCCAATCCTCTTCGGAATCACGGTCCTCACTGTGATCCTCCTCAGAGGCTACAAAAGTTGTGGTAACTAGCTCAGT